CCTCATCGAAAGTCTTTTTAATCGTCTCCAGCGCTCGTCTTTTCTCCTCGCGCTCGGTCCTCTGGATCTGAAACTCCTTGTCTGCCTCTTTGACCTCGCAGCTCAGGGCCTCTAGGTGCGGCAACATGGTCTCAATCTTCTTCGCCGTCTCAAGATAGCGTTTGGCTTGTGCATCGGCATATTGCGTAAGGTGGGAGAGCACCTCCTGGTCTTTCCGACCTCCATGCAGGTCCTGCATGAATGAGGAGTAGTCGAAGCGCTTCAGCTCAAAGTTGCGCCTCTTGGCTTGGTATTTTGAGTCGGTCTCGGCGCGCTTCTTCTCCTTCAGTGAGTCTTGCCGTTGGCCGAGATATCGTCCTAGGTATTGATAGTAGTCTTTGCTCTCCTCCTCAAAGTCCTTGCGTTTCGTCTCGGCCTGCTTGATGTCGATATTGTAAAGCTTGTATATGGGATCAATGATGAGTTTTTGGATGTTTGTGGAATTGGACTTTTCGTAGCCCAGAATCTCCTTCGCAATCTTGTCAAAGTAGTGGTCAATGGCCGGCTGCACTGCGTTTGCATTGGACGACGAGGCCTCTCTGAGCGCGTCCATGAGGTCGGCCATGGCATTGTTGCATGCGACCTGGGCCTCCATGGCGGACTCGGCGCGTTTGAGGACCTTTTTCCACCTGGTGCGCATGTTGCCCGTCTTCTGCTCGAGCGACTTCATCGTGGCGCGAAACAGCGGCCCATCGTCGGTCTGACTGAGGTCTTCACCGGGGCGTGAGACGTCGAGCTTGACTGAGGCGGTGCCGCTCGCCAGTGTGGTGGTGTGGCTCGGTACGAGGCCCAGGCTGTGCTCGGGGATGGGTTCGCAGATGGGCGATCGCGGAGGTATCGCGTCCCACTCGCGGTCTTCGCCTGCCGAGTCGCTGACGCGAGACTCTATCGACTGGGCCGAGGGGACGCGCAGGCGGGGAGGGACGCCGAGTTCGAGGCGCGGCGAGGGCGACTTTGGGCTCTGCAGCTGGCGCGGCGTGTCTGTTGTAGTCAGCGGATGATGGGGGCAGGGCGGGGGATGGTACGGACTCTGGACCCAGACGGTGAAGCTCGCCAGCGTCTCGAGGCGGTGGGCGCGCTGGTCATACTCGACGAACTGGAGGGGGTCAGCAGTTGCGGCGACGGAGTGGCAGACGAGGCGGGCTACACACACTGCAGCTGGTGCGCCAGCCGCCGGGGCGCGACTCGGGGGCGCGGGGCGGAGTCCATTTCCACGACCACTGGAACTGGACCGACGAGTGGCCGGCGGTGGAGTAGTCGCCAACCAGCTCGACCTGGGGGTTCTTGTGGAGGTTGGGGTTGGCGTGGAACTCGCGCGTGACGAGATTGTCGAGGTCGCGCTCGCTCGAGGCAAAGACAAACGTCAGGCCATGGATGTGGGTGTCGACGAGGCCCGTGGGGGCGCCGTGGGCCGTCGGGGGAGGCGTGTAGGTGGCGGGGACGGCGAGGTGCTGGCGCAGGACAAAGGTAAAGTGGAAGAGCAGCTCGTCGTCGCTGGGCAGGCGCAGCAGGAAGGCGGGCGGGCCATCGGCGTGGGGCAGCGCGTCGGGGTCCTGGACGAAGTCGATGAGGGCGTCGTCGCCCGGCTCGCGCTTGGCGGCATACCGGGCGGCGGGGAAGGCGTTGGGCGAGACGTGGAGCAGCGTGCGGTTGCGGGCGTTGGTGATGGTGAGGGCGGCGACGGAGACTGCACGCGAGGGTTAGCAGGGCGAGCGGGCGAGCGGGCGAGCTGGATCGAGGCGGCGGCTTACATCGAGTCTGGTCGCGCAGATAGAGGGCGCCTGCGTCGCCGGCCTTGCTGTTGACTGCGCCCATGCCCGCTGGCAGCAGCCCGTCGAGGCGGACGAGGGGAGGCGGGATGGATAGGCGGTCGGTGGTCTGCGCGATGCGCGGTGCGCTATGCGGTATGCGATATGCGGTATGCGATATGCGATATGCGATATGCGATGTACGATATGCCGTGATCTGTCGCAGTAGCAGCATTGGCGCCGTGGCTACTCCCGCGCGCTAGCGGCGGGCATGGGCGCACGTCCGCCGTCGTCGTCGCAGCAATTTCCCTTCACTCTGCACCCCCGCTGCTGCTTCCTCGACGCCCACCATGCTGCTCCCCACGCTGCGTCACGCCCTGCGCCAGCCGCTCGCCAGCCCGCGCGCCGTCCAGCGCCGCTGGGCGCAGGTGCACGACGTCCGCTTCCTCGCCACGCACGACTCGCAAGAGCGCATCCTCGCCAAGTACCGGGACAAGCTCGAGCACAAGGCGCGCCAACAGGGCCTCAAGGACCTCGACGAGCTCAAGGAGCAGTACAAGGACAAGATCGAGGAGCTGCGCAAGCAGGCCATGGTGCCCGGCGCAACCGCGCCCCTGACGCCGCCGCCCGAGACTCCCTGGCCCTCACCTCCGCCGCCGCCGCCCGCTGCGCCAGGCTCTCCTACGGCCCCGCCGCCGGGCGTCAAGACGCTCAACTCGTTCCTCGACCTCGCCAAAGTCCAGGCGCTCCCCAGCAAGGAAGTCCAGGCCCTGTGGCGCCTACGCCACGCTGCCAACCCGCAGAGCATCCACTTCGCTGTCCCCGCCACCACCTTCTCCCAGCTCCTTCGCAGCGCCAAACAGCACCCCTCGTTCGTCCTCCCTGTCCCCCGCGAGATACCCGCCGACGCCCCATCGGCCTCGCAGCAGCCGCCTCAGACGCAGCAAGCCGCCGAGCTGCACTATCTCCAGTTCTCCCACCCGCACGTCGATACCACCACGCTCATGTTCACGACACTGGCAGAGTTCAAGCTCAGGGGCGAGTTCGCCAGTCCCCACACCACCGTCACCTTCCACCACGAGCTCGCCGAGACCCACAACTTGGTCCTGGGCCAGGGCTTGGTCACTGAGAACAGGGGCGTATCCGTCGACGACGCCAGATGGCTCGTCATGTGCATGCAGAAGTTCTACGTGCAGACGGAAGAGGGAAAGGGCCGCAGCCAGCTTCTCGACATGTTCACCCGCGGAGACAGCGCATTCCAGGTAGAGCGACTGATAGATGAGGCCGAGAAGATATTGTGATTGTACACGCCACCCGTCTACCCTCTCAGCGGGAGCACATGCTGCACTAGACACGTCTGCCTACAAAGCGGGCATTCGGGCTTCTCCCGCGCCCAGTCCCCGATACACGTCCAACAGAAGACATGACCACACGTCGTCACACTCGGATCCTTCATCTCTTCCAGGCACAGCGTACATTTCCGATTGCCGCCGCCAATCCATCCCATTGTTTCCTCATCCTCCAGCTCGTATCTTGCCTTGTCCAACGCTGGTGTCTGTGTCCACTTTTGCACGTCGGACGGCGCCGCTGTGGGCACCGCCGACGCTGCGTCGAATAGTAGCGCGTTGTTGGCGCTGTAAGCATTGGGATCCAGAGACACTTCTGCGCCGCCACCGACAATGGCCGACGTGCCTTGCGGGTGGCCGCCACCCACTGCCGCTGTCGAAGAGGTGACAGTATTGTGCACGTGTAGGTAAGCCTGTACAGCCATCTGTAGGACTAGCAATACGCCCAGGACTTCGTAGCCTGCGCGATTGTCGCCCTCGGTCACCTGGCGCGTGAAGATGTACCGGAGCCCCCATATCCGTTTTGACAGGTGGTAGTAGCTCCCGGAGAAGTAAAACGTTGCCAACGAGAGAGCGTACACGGGTGATGGCGATGTAATGGTGTCGAGGTTTCGGAGTAGGTAGTTTTGTACGCGCATGCCCAACGGTCGCCCTATCTGTGTCTTGCTCCCACTCTGCTGTGCCTGATGCTGTGCCCGTGCCTGTTGTCGTGCATGCCACCGCAAATTCGCCTCGAGCTTTGCGCGCACTCGCCGCCTGAAGGCCGGCAATGCCCTCCCGAGCACATATGGCCCCAAGATGCAGCCAAGTATGTATCCAGCTCTGCGGCCCAGCGCCGGCAGGCGTCCGCTTTCGCTTTCCACCTGGACAATGTCTGTGTATTCCTCGCCCAGGGTCCGGTTCCCTATCAGCGTCGTCAGACCGAGGTAAAGGAGTTCTCCGGCTACACGCGTCTCGGACGCATACGTATGCGACGTGCGCGCGCCATAGAGCTTGCGCAACAGCGTCGAGAGCTGATCGAGAAGCACGCCGGAGAAGTAGGCGTCTTTCTGGTGCGAGCGAATGATGTCGGGAGAGGCGGCAAAGGGGTAGGCGTAGCGCGTAGAAGACGACATGCTTGTGTCGCGTACAAGAGTGACGGTGATCGCTGTGTTGTGTTGTTGCATGTCGCAGCTCAGCCACGACCTCGGCTGAACCCTGGAGACATCGCGTCACGTGTCGTTTGACTTGTGAGCACTCGCTCCGGCGGCTTATAGAACTCCGGTCGCGTTCTGCATATGTTACATCTAATGTATACACCAACTTACACCCTAGTCTGCTATGTTACCGTAGAAGCCTGTTAAGGCCTTGATCATCAATCTGCTTCAGACCTCGGGAGGCTGCAGCCCGCTTCCAAGGTTCTAGCGGACCATTGCAGTGTGGCGCGATCAATTCGCGTCATGTCTAATCCTTGGAGCGTCTCGGAGTTCACCTGGGCGTCATGGGAACCTGGAACTAGTACTTGAAGATGAGGAGCATGACGCGGTGGGACGATCTTGTTGGTGTGCAGTGTGGCAAACTTACAATGTTGACGAGTTCACCGGGACGAGCTTTGTTGCCCCACGAACCACATTATCCTGCGACGACATCATCAGATCTGAAACAAGCAAGGGAGGTAAGTCAATATACGTAAGCAGATCAACACACGGGTCTGTCCAAGACGCACTCCTCTTTCAACTGGCCCTGTGGATGGAATTCGAAACGTCTGATGCAGGCACATGGATACGGTGCAGATGAGGCATTGGGACATGGCAACATGCCTGGTCTTCTGACGACCAACTAAGAGATTGAAGCCCATATCTACATTCAACCCATTCGCTACATCATGTCATCTTATTTCGACTTTCTTGTTCCTCCATCCAATCCGCTCCTTGTATTCAGTGACCAGGTCTGCAGCACCCTCAAGATCTTCTTCAGGAAGCCAATCATGGCTGTCTTCGTATCCCTCCCACTTGACGAGGTAGTAGTTCTTCTCGTGCTCGTGAAAATGCGCCACGATGGCCTCTACAGCAAACTCTTCCGTTGCATCCGCTTCTGCATCGTCTTCGTTGTTGTGTTCGAGCGACTGTTGTCCCGGATACAATGTGCGCATAGATGTTATTCGGCTGCCGACGTATCCGTCCGATTCAAATTGCGGCGAAGCGGGTTGTGGGGGTATTATGTCGTCTTGGTCTGATGCAGCAAGCGCTGAATAATTAGAGGAAGACGCTGTCTGCAGAAAGACGTCCGCCACTCTGGAATCCAATGGAGCTGGGGAGCCAGAGTCTCGCGCGGAAAATGGAGCTGCCGTTGGAGCTTCTTGGAGCACGTTATCAGCAGACGGTGAAAAAGCGGGTATGATGGGGTGAAGTTGACATGGAAGAGTGCTCTCGATCCCGGATGGGCTAGAGAACGGACGATCTTTACTGCTGCCCGCATTCCCAACCTCGATTGCGAGCGATGGTAAGTCGCCTCTTGTAGATTTTGCATCATTGTCGCTGAGCGCTAAGTAGTCCACATCTTCTGGTTCGGAAGGTTCGGAAACTTCTGAAAGTTCCCGTCGAGGGACAGAGATGGATACTCTCCTGGGTATTGGTGATACCGAAAGAGCGCTGTTGGCGACAAAAGCTGAGCGTGTGGTGTTGGGCGATGTCTGCGTGGGTTGTCCGATGTGTTCGGTTGTACGATCGAACACCATAGGTTCGCTGTCTACCAGCTGCTCGTGCATGTCGTTCTTGAGCTGTCGGGAGCTTACGACGAGGCCTCTTGTTGGCTCTACACCTCTCGCCCTTCCCCTGCATTTTCCGCGTGTGGCTCTCGGTCGACCCCGTGAACGTGGGGTCGGCTCTACAGAGAAGGCGAGCGCGCTGAGCACGCGGCTCCCTTTGCTGGCGTTTGGCCCTTTGGCATTCTTTCGCAGTTGGCGACGCGCCAGGTCTTCGGCCTCGGTGCGCATAGCAATGGCCTCTGCCTCTGCCTCGAGCCTGAACTGCTCAGTTTCATATCGTTCCAGTTCAGCTAGAGAAACGAACTGCAGTATGCGTTGCAGGTCCACATCCTCAAGCTGTGTAAGGGCAATACCGTCCCGTGCACTCCCCGGTCCGCCCGTATATGTGACCTCTACGGTGTATAGCTCCCGCTTGAAGCGGTCCTCGGTCTGTCGACGATGGAGTATTCGCGTTCGTGCATTCGACATAGGGCAGACGTTAGGTAGTCGTGCGGTGACAGTGGCAGGCTCCTTGCGAACGCGCCATAACTGGTCGTACACCTCGGCGCCAGGCGTGTATGCTTCCCACTCCCACTGCGCATATCTTAGTAGTGTTTGGTTGTGGCGATTGTCTCACGATTGTCTCGCGATTTGGCGGTAGCATACTATTCGCGTCTTGCCTCTGCCTCGTCCTCTGCCACCTCTAGCGCTGCGACCGTCTCTGCGCCCCCTGCCCGACATGCCTATTCTGTAGATGGGTCTGAAGCGATGCACCGAAGGCCCGATTCCCCGCAAAGGCAGTAATTGAAGCCACAGGTGTCCGCGTCCGTCATGATGAGAGTTGGGCGGTTGGCATGTGGCGCGATTGAGCGGATCCGTGCTCAGGTGGTTCCTGGATTCTCCCGGGCTTATGTCAGCCACCAAGCTATACCGATTTCGGGTTTCGTACCATCTGGGAACCACACGCGCAGCTCTGATCGTTGGGCTCACACAGCGGAAACTCTACTGAACCGTTCAAATAGCTCGAATCAGTTTACCTAGAATGCTGAGCGATGATTTTGGCATCAGGCACATCGGCCGTAACTCAAGACCTCGGGAGTGAAGCTTACCTAGGTAGGTACCTACATAGGTAGGTAGCGTTCACTGGAGACGGAACCATCGAATAATCTTACTGCAAATGAACTAGCGTCACTTTAGCGTACATCCGTCAGCAACCCACAGCAAGCACTAAGTGTCAGGGCCTCAGGAAATATAAGCAGTGAAAATGTCCAGTAGGTAATCAATCATAGCGCCCAACATGTCTCATTCCACACTTGGATGTCAGATCGCCCCACGATATCATCACGAATACGATTCCAGCTCATCTAGCGAGTCCGAGCTGGGAATACAAGCTTCCGCCGCCGCCAGCTCTACTCCTCTGGAGCAGCAGACCACGGGTGTCAAGACTGAGACGGTGCATGGCACCTCCGCCGCTCCCAATAGGCTAACAACGCTGCAGCGTGGCCGCACAAAGAGTAGCCGCAGGATCGTGCAAGAACAGGCGCCTGCCGGGTTCTTTCACTCGTCCATGGCCGGTGTCAGGCTACACGTGATCAGGCTCTGGCTTCGTACAAATCTCATTCTCGCCATTGCCATCATGGCCTTTCTTTGCCTTTTCTGGGGTGCACTGTTTCGTCAAAATGCAAACGTGGGGGGTCTGAACATCTCCGTTGTAGACTTCGATGGCCAGCCACCGTTTACCGGGGTCGCACCCTTCGTGGGTCCGTTTGTCACTCGCACTGTTCGCAGCATTATGGAGGAAGATGGCGTGGTGCCTGGCTACACCTTTGCGTCTCCCGAAGACTTCAACAACGACTCGCTGAACGTACGCAACAAAGTTTACGACTTCCATGCCTGGGCGGCCGTCATCATCAATTCCAACGCCACAGCAATGCTCGATGCCGCAGTGAAACTGGGGAACGCGAGCTACGATCCCTTGGGTGCCTGCCAGATCATCTATAATTCGGCGCGCGATCAAATTACCACCTCGACTTACATTGTACCCAGTATTAACACCCTCCAGAAGCGCGTAGTCACCGAATTTGGCCGCGCGTGGATCGCACATCTTCTCCAGAACAACGTTTCAGTTACGGACATGCGCCTAGACATCGCACCTCAAGCTCTCTCTCCCGGCATTGAGTTCACCGTCAACGACTTGCGCCCCTTTGGACCGCCTATCGCTACACCCGCGGTTAGCATTGGCCTTATATACCTGAGTGAGCAATGTTCCTGTACGAACCGCATGTGACATATACTAATATCTTACACCGCTATTTAGTCATCATCTCCTTCTTTAGCTTTACGTTCTTCCTACCTATCCATCTGAAGTACCTCTCGCCCAAAGGTCATCCACCGCTGCACTTCTATCAGCTTATCGTGTGGCGCTACATCGCGACGGTCGCATCTTACTTCTTTCTCTCTCTCGTCTACTCCTTTGTCAGCCTCGCCTACCTTATGCCCATGGACCGTCCTACTGCCTCCCACAATCAGCCTGCCGGTAACCCTAACGCGTATGGCAGAGGTACCTTCTTGGTATACTGGATGGGCAATTGGATTGGAATGATTGCTTTTGGCCTTGCGAGCGAGAATATGGCCATGCTGCTGGGCTCCCCTTGGACGGCGTTGTGGCTCATTTTCTGGGTCATCAGCAATGTCGCCACTGGGTTTTATGCCCTCGAGCTTGCACCGAGCTTTTATCGCTGGGGCTATGGTTGGCCGATGCACAATATCGTCGAGCTCACACGGTCAATCCTGTTCGATCTGCATCCACGAGTTGGCTTGAACTTTGGAATCTTATTTGCCTGGGCTGTGGTAGACTCAATCTTCTTCCCGCTTTGCTGTTATTATATGAAGTGGAACACTGCGCGGGTTCGCAAAAATGCAGCCAAGGCCGAGGCGGATTGGCATGCCAAGATGGACAAAGAGAGAGAAGACCCCGGCCTATTAGCAAGGGTCACTACGCTCAAGGATAAATAGGAAGGATAGTGCAAGAACGTCGCAAGTCATGATCTTCCCATAGATCGCACGGAACATGTTCCCTTGTACCCCCCCAATCCTAGTCATCCTGAACACATCGCGGCAACTCACGAAAGGTAGGCCGAGGAACGCTCGATGCAAGCTACCTCTAGACTTTTGCCTTCCAGTCCCAGCCTACCAGCGACACCCTAGTAGCAAGTAAAAGACACCCTCCTACAAAGAAAGACAGACCCGCCCAAACATTCGCATACGTGTAGTTGCCATTGTGGCTCTGGATGATCGCTCCAGCTAGTGGCGGACCTGTAAAACTCGATATACTCACCACGGTGAAGGCCATGCCCATCCTCACCCCAGACTTCTTCAGATCTCTCTCCTGACTCATACTTCCGATTACCGCAGGCCAAAGCGCCTGGATAACGGCGCTCCCGCTTCCATATATGACAGCAAATATGTACAGGGTGACGATGGAGTTAATTCTAATCCATACGAACATCATGATACCACAGACAAACGCGAACGGTATAAGAACATTAAGCCCACCAACCTTGTCGGCATAGTAGGTCGGCAGTAGGCGAAAGATAAACCCCATGCATACTTGCACGAGAAGCAGATTGATACTTTGCTGGTAACTGGCACCAAGAACATTTCGCGCATAACTTCCAATGTAGAAGAAAGCGAAATACAACCCCCAGAAACTGAAAAAGGCACCAGCACAGTACAGAGCATATGGCAGTTCCGTGAAGCTCGCCCAGTCGACCAATGGACCGCTTTTCCTGGGAGGGAGCCGGGTACGGTACAAGCCGATGGTGATGGCATTCATGAGCAACATGATAAAGCCGATGATGCGTATCGTCCATGGAAAGCCTAAGCTGGGGAGACATTGCTGCACAATAACCGGGAATATGACGCCCCCAGTGCAGGACCCCAGCGCTGTGAAGCCCAGCGCAAAAGCACGACGCTTGACAAAGTAAGTGGAGACAAGGGCCATGGACGGACAGAATTGCAACCCATTTGCAATTCCCAGACATACGCCCTGAGAGAGAAAGACATGCCAAACACTTTTGCTCTCCGCCAAGGTAAAGATACCGAGTAGCTGAAAGCACGCACCAGCGATGTAGACCGGGCGAAAAAGTCCAGCGTCCGTAGCACGGCCTGTAAAAGTGCCAAGGAAGAAGAGAAGGAATACCTGAAGCGATCCAATCCAGGAAATGGTCGAAGAAGCTATGCCGAGTGTGTTTTCGTAGTAGGTCTGATACACGCCGAATGACGTGAAGAAGCCAAAGGTGGTCAGGATAGTTAGGTGCGTGCATAGGACTTGGGTCCAAGCTGTGAGGCCACCATCGGGAGCGGGGCCTGGGTCGAAGGAAGCTGCCGATCGACGCGAAAGTACGCGGGCGAGAGCAGGCTGGCTTGGCTTGTCGTGTGTGTGCCTTGCATCTTGATGGCGAGCTTCAGCATTCAGGGTGGCTTCTTGTATCTCAATGTCGCGCGCGCCAGGCCATGTCTGAAGGTTGCGACCCATGACAGTGTTCAAGTCTGCAACCTCCTTCGCGTCGACGCGTTGACTGGCCATTTGTGCAGGGTAATCGCGATAAAGACCAACTACGGGCGAAGAAAGACGTTTAATACCGTGGGGGATGCTAGTGAATAGAAATCTAGGACGTGCAGAACGGGTTGGTTTTCTTAAGCCTGTTAAGATTTAGCGTCTCCGGGAATAAGACAGTCGCAAAGTATTACCTAATGCACGTAAGCGCGTAGATAAGGTACGTAAGATAAATCTATCCAATATATAGTAGTAAAGTATAGTTCTTAGATATTTATTAAAAGAAAAAAAGCTTTTAAATAAATGTAAAAGTAAGCTTTTTTTAATAGATTTATTATAAACGTATATAAATTATAGCTAAGATTAATACTAGAAAATATAAAATATACTAAAATATAAATAAGCTAATATTACTATAAAATCTTTATTATAGATTTTTAGATTTATTAACTTACTAGTGTTAGGTCCTAGCCCCGAAGAGCCGGGGCTGACTTAGCACCAGCTATAAATACCTTAGAATTGCTATCGTAGCTTAGTAGCAATTCGTCTCTAGTCTTTTTAGAATAATACACCTGATTATAGTCTAATATCGTGCATCTAGTATTCTACTAACTCTATTATTTAACAACTAGAGTATAAATTTTACTTTAGTAAATAAGTAAAATTATACTATAGCTCTATATATAGTACTATAATTTTCTACTTCTAGTTTAAGATACTAATCTTTAAGTAGAAGTTTTATAGTCTACTTATAAGCTAGCTAGTATAAGCTTTTATTAGCTATATACTTTATACTATATATTATATACTTATTATATTACTTCTATCTTAACTTTTTTATTTCTATTTAGTATTATAAATATATAATAGTCTTAGACTTTATCTAAGTCTAGACTAGAATAGAGAAGATATAGATAAGATTTAGACTTACTATATAAACCTCCAGATTCTATATATAGCTTTCTAATCTCTAAGCCTTATAATATTCTATTAATACTTAGTATATTCTAACTCTAAGACTAGTCTATAATATTTATAAGGCTTCTTTCTTATATACTATATATAAGTTTAGAGATAGACTAGCTAGACTTAAGAAATAAAAATAGCTAAAGACGTAACTTTATAAGTAATTCTAAACTAACTATACTAAATAACCTAAGACTATAGAGAAGACTACGCTTTATTCTAGATACTCTAAGTCTAGAATAAATACTTTATCTAGCGCCTTAAGGCCTTAAGTACATAGTTTACTACTACGCTCTTCTCTAGTAATATACTATAGAAGAGAAATACTATTTCTACTATAGAAGTATCTATTAGTAGTTTTAGCGCTAGTGTAGACTCTTTATTTCTACTTTCTTCTCTATCTACGTACGTAGATAAGCGTAGGCCTCTTTAGATAGAAGAGCGCTTTAGAGGTAATAAAGTATACTTCTAAGTCTAGAAAGTAATAATTAAGTATAAACTAGTAATAGACTATAAGTTTCTTAGAGATAGAAAGTTATAGTTCTACTTTATTAATACTAAACTATCTTTTATAGTCTAGTAGTAGATTACTCTATACTTTAAGATAGATAGATATAGTATCTAGAACTTATAGAAGTTTCTTAAATACTTATTATTTTACTATTATAACGTATATAGTAAGAAGTAAGCTCTAGTATACTTAGATTACTTACGCTAGAGAAAGTAATAGTCTTTTATAGAATTCTTTATTATCTTTAGCTAGACTCTAGTATAGATAGATAGCCTCTATTAAGCTAGAGAGTATAAGCTAGAATAACTTTATAATACTTTAAATAACTATATAAGAGAAGTCTCTATAAATTAAAGCGTATTATATACTAACTATAATATAGTAGTTTTTATATATAAGGCTATTACTATAGACTTTAAGATAGTAGAGATAGAGTCTATCTAGAGGTTCTAGCTCTTTTACTCTATACCTATAGCGTCTTAGAGGTAGAACTATAATAGTAACGTTTATATAGTAAATATAGAGATAGTAGATACTATATCTAGAGGTTTTTATAGAAGTCTAGCTTCTAACTAAAAGAACTAGATTTCTATAGATATATTTAATAAGCGTAAAGTAGTAGATATCTATATATAGTATAGATACGTAGACTACTATATAAGAGTATACTCTAATATTATAAAAGTCTTATAGAGATAAGATAGCGATAGGTAGAAATAATAAAGTAATTATAGTAAGAAGCTTATAAGAGAGAGCTATTAGAGATAAATATATATAGTAGAGGCGTTAGGCTAATATAGGCCGAGGTTCTTAAGAATCTAAACTATTATACGTCTCTCTTCTAAAATACTTAAAGTTCTAACTAAGCGTTTAATTACTCTAGTAGCTATAGATTTAATATCTAGTAGACTCTAGGTCTATTAAAAGAGAGCCTAGTAGAATAAGATAATAATAATAAAGAAAACTAAGGCCCTCTTAATAGAGAATCTAACTATAACTTCTTAGGCTAAGTAGAGTACTATTAGAGAAGCACTAATAAAGTAAAAGTAATAGATAGTAAGTCTCGAGGCTATAGATACCTATAGAGGTTAAAGTTAGATAGAGACGTGTATTATAATTAACTTAGTAGGCTTTAGAAGTAACGCGGCTAAGTAAGTCTATAAATAACTAGCTAGTTCTTTCTAAGTATATAAGGTTTAGTAGATAGAGTAGAGTAATAGTAAGCTCTTTATTATTATTATAGTTATTAAAGATAATATAAGATTCTAGGTAGCCGGGGTTACAGTTGTAATAGTTCTAGACTAACTTCTTACTACTCTTTAAGTTATAGTATAGTTACTATACTTCTAACTAATTATTACTAATCTATTCTATCTTATATTATAAATAGCCGCGTTAGTTAGTATATAGGTTATTTATTTTATTCTTTATCTATAAATTAAAGATCTAAGCGATAGTGTATTTAGTAACGCTCTTTTTATTAAAGTAGACTTTAGATAGAGTATAGTTAGTAGCTTAGAGCTAGTCTAATAGCGTATTATTTTTATAGAGTTAAAGAAGCTAAGAGTAAAACGTAAGAAAGAGGCTCTTAAGCTCTTTTAGAAGATCTAGTTTATAAACTATATTATTAATTACACGAACTATTTAATATAGCTCTATATTCTTATAATTAAGAGATTTTACTAGCCTCTTAGTCTTAATATATCTAGTGTTAAGAAGTATTTAGTTACTAATAGTAAAATAAAGTATAAGATAGTAGTAAATATTCGCGAAGTTGTGTATCTTCTTGCGAGTCTATATAATCTTATCGTAGAGGTATTAGCGTATCGCGTTAATATACTAGATAAGACTATTAGCAGCGCGCTGCTATATAAGTATAGTAGTAGAGAAAGTATAAAAAGGCTTAAGTTCTAAGTAGAGCTAGTAATCTTTAGTAGTTTAGAATAGAGAAACTCTAGTTGCAGCGCTAGTAGTAGAGTTAGACTTAAACTCTACTAATAGTAGAAGGTAAGCCTAATCGTTCTATAGGTAATTAATATATAACTAAAGATATTACTTTAGATTAGTATTAGTATTCTTAGTTTAGCTATTAGTCTTAGAGTAGTAGAATATAAATAGCTTTAGATAGGTGCCTACTCTCTTATAGAGGCGTCTCTAGAAGTATAAAGTAAATTAGTAACTATAGTTAGAGATAAGAGTCTTAGAATAGCTCTCTTTCTACTATATATACTCTAGAAACTTATTAATAATAGTAGAGACTTCTATATTTTCTATAGTAATAAACTTTTTCTTCTTAGATAGCTTGTCTATAACTACTATAATATATCTATATATATAGCTATACTATAAGAATAATAGTAGTAGAGTAATAAAGTTAATAGAGATATTCTTCTAGTATCTTTCTAGAATAGGTAAGAAGTATAGTAGACTATGTTTAGCCTCTCTACTAACTTTAGACCTTCTATAGATTATATAGTTATTTATAAAGTAGGTAATAGTATTAGTTATACCTTACTAGTAGTACTATTAACTAACTTACTAGTAGATAGTTATATAACTACTATAACTGCTAGAGAGCAAGTTATAGATATTCTTAATAACGTAGGTTTAGAGCTTCTTACTAAAGAGAATAAGAAGTTAGTTATTACGTATAAAGAGCTTACCTTTATTACTAGACTTAAGATTACTAAGCTCTAGTTGCACCTTCTTTATAATAAGATAATAGAGAATATTATAATTACCGCGATCTAGTAACTATTATATAGTAGTTAACTATTTATTTATTAAGTAGAGAAGGTTAATAACTTTCTAGTTTATTATATTATCTACTCTATTAATATTATTATATAGATTAGACTATTCTAAGAGAGAGAAATAGGCTATATTAACTATAGTAATCTCTAGATAGACTCTCTTACTTATCTTATATATTAGAGTAAGAATAGAGAGTAGGTTATAGTCTACCTCTACGAGGTAAAGGCCTGTAAGAGTTACTACGGTATAGCTACTACTATTCTACTAATAGTCTTCTAGTATAATCTAATACTAATATTATACTCTATTATTAGTTATATACTCTAGAAGATTACTAGTATAGTAAGTAAGACTATTAGGCTTTATGCCTTACTTACTTAGTTAGTAAGTAATCTTAAAGTTGAACTTCTCTAAGAATTTAGACTATCTAGTTTATTATTAGTTAAGATAGCATTTAGTGTAGAAGTACTCTAGCTCTTAATAGTTAGTAAGAACTTATATATCTTTAGATACGCTAGTAAGCTTAGAACGCTATTCTTTAAATACTTAAACTATAGCTAGTAGTTTCTTATTATATATCTTATAGTTATACTTAGTAGAGGTTATCTTTTTAGATAAGTAGATAACTAGTTGCACTATCTTATTCGTCTAAATCTAAGAGAGTACTATAGTATAAACGTAATCTAACGCGTTAGTCTCTAGAATATACTTAAGGTCTAGGTTAAAGTACGCTAGTATAATATTACTATAGAAAGCTACTTTTAGTGTTACGAATATAGAAGTAGCGTTCTAGTTTATC